AGGAGCCTGGCTGAATGCGCTTATTGGTTATTTTTGCTGGCGTTCGTGATAGTCTCATGATTGTCTCATGATCTGTGATGCTGCACTCAGGTATTTAACCCCAGAACTTCGATGCTCTGGGTCCCAGTCTTTTGGAAAGGATTCCAACTGGGTCCATTATTGCTCAGTAATAAAACTTCACCTTCTTTTTCTCCAATTGCTGTGTCTGTCAATCCTTTGTCTCCTTTTAAGTTGGTACCATTGCCAAATATTTGCAACATAAATTGGTGCCGTGACTCGGATGTAGGCCAGTAGGGTACCTTTTACAGAAAAAAACCTTGCCCAGTCGGGTGGGGTGACCACGTCGTTGGACTGCTTGCTCATCTCCAGGCGCCATCAGACAATTTCCGAGGAGAGAATCAGCCTTCCAGCGTGCTCAAGTGCCCCGCCCGAAGCGGCAATGTACCGTGGGGAGAAAATTGAACGTGAGCCAGGAAAAGCGCGCAGGATGAAATCACTCATGGTGAGTAGATAACGAGTGGCTGATCACCCACAGCCACCCACTAGTATACCCCAAATAGAAAGGAAAAGGTCCTTTGGGGGGGGGGAAGCTGGGTGAGCTAGGAAAAGGAGTAAGGGTTGGTAAGGGATTTTGGAAAAAGAAAAACCAGCTGTGGTGTTGTGATATTGGAGTGTTGTGTGTTTGAATGAGAAGCGTGTCTCGGGACGGTTATTTGAGGAAGCGTGTGTTGTGGTTTTTTTCTCTCTTTCTATTTTTGAAGTTTGCCTGGTTGAAAGCATTTCGCAAAGGGGTCTGATGGGGGGGGGGAATGTTCAAAAACCAGAAACATAGAAACTCCGTTAGTGTGATGGCCTGGGAGTCTGATTCAGAGGCTGAACCCCCTGTCAGGGGAAGGTGAGCCTCCCCCTGGGTCCAGTAACCCTCCAGCCTCTCCTGAGCTGCAGAGGCTCAGGGAAGAGAGGCGGAGGGAACTGGGTTCTCTCAGGAGGAGTGCTCACCTTAAGGCCAGGAGAGGTGGGTCACCTGTGGGCCGGGACCGCCCCTGGCTTCAGAGAAGATAAAGGCCAGTCAGCCCGGTCCCAGGTTGCGGGAGCAACGTTGTTGGAAACCTGTTTCTGCCAGCACCCAGACCTGTTCTTCCGGAGTTCCTGACCACGCCCGGCTTCCTGCTTTGGACCCCGCTTCGCCCTTGTTGGACAGTCTCCAGACCCTCGACCCAGGACCGGACTCTGACCATGCCTCTCGGTAACACACCCCCCCCCCCCGGGTCCAGCACAGTTAGATTGCATGCTAGCAAATTTCAAAAAAGTTTTTTCAGAAGATGGGGAGGCCAAACTAACTCCAGAGGCTTTGAAGATGCATTGTCAGCTAGACTGGCCGAGACAGGTCTCAAGGTGGCCTCCGAATGGCAGCTTTGATGTGGAACTATGCCGGCTGGTCTGGAATTCCGTAACGAAGGAACCAGACTCTTTTGGCCATCAATTTCCCTATATTAATAAATGGTGCAGCGTTTGCATGAAAAATCCATTTTGGCGGCATGGTGTGAGTATGAACTGTTGTTGTTGTTTAGTCGTTTAGTCGTGTCCGACTCTCTGTGACCCCATGGACCAGAGCACGCCAGGCACTCTTGTCTTCCACTGCCTCCCACAGCTTGGTCAGACTCATGTTTGTAGCTTCGAGAACACTATCCAACCATCTCGTCCTCTGTCGTCCCCTTCTCCTTGTGCCCTCAATCTTTCCCAACATCACGGTCTTTTCCAGGGAGTCTTCTCTTCTCATGAGGTGGCCAAAGTATTGGAGCCTCAGCTTCACGATCTGTCCTTCCAGTGAGCACTCAGGGCTAATTTCCTTAAGAATGGATGCGTTTGATCTTCTTGCAGTCCATGGGACTCTCAAGAGTCTCCTCCAGCACCATAATTCAAAAGCATCAATTCTTTGGGGATCAGCCTTCTTTATGCTCCAGCTCTCACTTCCATACATCACTACCAGGAAAACCATGGCTTTAACTATACGGACCTTTGTTGGCAAGGTGATATATCTGCTTTTTAAGACGCTGTCTAGGTTTGCCATCGCCTTTCTCCCAAGGAGAAGGCGTCTTTTAATTTAGTGACTGCTGTCACCATCTGCAGTGATCATGGAGCCCAAGAAAGTAAAATCTCTCACTGCCTCCATTTCTTCCCCTTCTATTTGCCAGGAGGTGATGGGACCAGTGGCCATGATCTTTGTTTTTTTGATGTTAAGCTTCAGACCATATTTTGCGCTCTCCTCTTTCACCCTCATTAAAAGGTTCTTTAATTCCTCCTCACTTTCTGCCATCAAGGTTGTGTCATCTGCATATCTGAGGTTGTTGATATTTCTTCCAGCGATCTTAATTCCGGCTTGGGATTCATCCAGCCCAGCCTTTCGCATGATGAATTCTGCATATAAGTTAAATAAGCAGGAGACAATATACAGCCTTGCCGTACTCCTTTCCCAATTTTGAACCAATCAGTTGTTCCATATCCAGTTCTAACTGTAGCTTCTTGTCCCACATAGAGATTTCTCAGGAGACAGATGAGGTGATCAGGCACTCCCATTTCTTTAAGAACTTGGCATAGTTTGCTGTGGTCGACACAGTCAAAGGCTTTTGCATAGTCAATGAAGCAGAAGTAGATGTCTTTCTGGAACTCTCTAGCTTTCTCCATAATCCAGCGCATGTTTGCAATTTGGTCTCTCGTTCCTCTGCCCCTTCGAAATCCAGCTTGCACTTCTGGGAGTTCTTGGTCCACATACTGCCTGCCTTGTAGAATTTTAAGCATAACCTTGCTAGCGTGTGAAATGAGTGCAATTGTGTGGTAGTTGGAGCATTCTTTGGCACTGCCCTTCTTTGGGATTGGGATGTAGACTGATCTTCTCCAATCCTCTGGCCACTGCTGAGTTTTCCAAATTTGCTGGCATATTGAGTGTAGCACCTTAACAGCATCATCGTTTAAAATTTTAAATAGTTCAGCTGGAATATCATCACTTCCACTGGCCTTGTTATTAGCAGTGCTTTCTAAGGCCCTTTCTAAGTACGAAGTAGAGGTCAAGAGAAGGATGTATTTCTTCTGGAGTCCCCCACTGGGGAGAAAGGGGACTATAAATGAAGTGAGGGCCTCACAGACCTACACAGCAGCCAGTTTGGGCTGAGGTAAGCCCACTGAGGTGCTGGCACAATTCTACTGGAGTGTTGCTCCCTCCCTGCATGTATAGCTAAGAAAAACCTTTGTCTCACCTCCCCACACATTTTTTGATTGCCAGCACACCAACATCTTTACAGGTAGATGCGTGGGAAGGGGGGCAGATTCAATTAGCCCTCCCCCAAAGGATCATATTTTCTTTAGTGAACTCCGCTCTGATGCTACAGTGGCTGTCTCATGTCAATGTTTGTGTCCATTTTAGCCACCCAACTGTGGATGGTTTTGGGGAAACACCTGCATCATCTTGTGATCTAAGCATGATGCAGTTGTCTTTTTCCAGTCATTGATATGATGTTTTGGGGAAGAGTGCAGTCTAAGTGAAGTATCTGTTGGTCCTGCTGTGTATCTTAGTGCAATAATAGCAGCCTGAAGAGTTTGGACTTGATACACTGCCTGTCACTACCTTTAAGGAGTCTCAAAGCAGATCACAATCTCCTTTCCCTTCCTCCCCCACAACAAACACCCTGTGAGGTAGGTGGAGCTAAGAGACTTCAGAGAGAACTGTGACTAGCCCAAGGTCACCCAGCAGCTGCAATGTGGAGGAGCGGGGAAGCGAACTTGGCTCACCAGATTATGAGTCCACCACTCATAACCACCACACCACACCTGAAGTGCCTTTTCCAGTTGTCAATAATGCCTGTTGTTATTATTTATGAAACATTAGTGTTATGATGGCAACCAAAGCCTGAAATATCTTCCAAAAAGATAAGACAAATGTTTAGGAAAAGTTGTTATGAAAGGAGGAATGAAGAATGTAAGTTCAGCATATAATTCTCTGCATGATGCTTTCAGGTCTCCATGTGATGAGCATGTGGACAGACAGAGGAGAAGGCTGCATGAGGCTAATAGTTAATTGCAGGATGACTTCTGCAAAAGAAAGTTGTGCATATTTGATCTTTGTGACTGTTAAGTAAATGTTTAAATCATGGGTAGGTAAACTAAGGTCCGGGGGCTGGATCTGGCCCAATCGCCTTCTAAATCCTGCCCACGCATGGTCCGGGAATCAGTGTGTTTTTACATGAGTAGAATGTGTGCTTTTATTTAAAATGCATCTCTGTGTTATTTGTGGGGCATAGGAATTCGTTCTTTTTCCCCCCTCCAAAATATAGCCCGGCCCCCCACAAGGTCTGAGGGACAGGGGACCGGCCCCCTGCTGAAAAAGTTTGCTGACCCCTGGTTTAAATTATAGTTTTGTAATATCCAACCCAAGCTCTGATTGTCTCAGTTCTCCCTTCACCTGTGTGTATCCTGCTAGTTCTATCCATTTCGCCTTTCTCTTGACACAAATGTATATAAAATTATACAGGAAAATGTTAAATGATTAGCTTTAATGCAGTGTTTCTGTCTCTACCTTTCTGTGCAATTGCTCAAAAATGTCACTAAGAAAGCTCTATATATTGGAGTGGTCTCTTTTATTGGAATAATTTCCCAAAGTTAATTCTAAAGGGGTGCATAAGACCAGTGGGCCAGAATTTTTGTCCCAAAAATATTTTTATTTTTTTCCTGTGGCCATCACTAAATATTCATGCAGTTAACTCCACAGTTTAATCTCTCATGGAGTAAAGTGGCACTTCCTTTCGCTGGGTGCCCCTGAGGCCAGTATTATGGGAGAGGGACGAAACGTTCTCTCTATCCACTTTATCTTCTTTAATTTTTAAGCCTCTATCATGTCTGCTCCCCACTTAGTCACCTTTTATAGATTGAACATTTCCAAACTCTTCAGCCTTTTCTCAAAGGAAAAGCACTGTTACCCCTTAATCGTTTGGTTGCCCAATTCTAGATGTAAGAGCAATCTGGTTGCCACATCTATCACCCTGTTGATCACCAGGGTTGATTTGGCTGGTCAGACTGGCAAGGAATGTGTCTGCCGTCTCCATCACTGTGCCACACACTCCATGGAAGAGAATGACCATCCTATTGGTGTTTCACAACTTTCTGACTTGTTGCAGGACCTTAGCCAGACCTAGCAGAGTATACTCAGAGTTCACGAAAGCAATTAGCAACTGGCTGCAGACAGGATGGACGAAGCAGGAACCAGGAACTTGTAGTTAAAGGTGTTTATTATATACAGTGGACTATTTACAGGAACAGAACAGAACACGGATCTTTGAACTAGCTCTCTCTTACACGACTCAACTCTCAACCTCCAACTCCTACACTCAACTCCTGAACTCTGAACTAACACATTCCAGTTAGTAGGCCATTAATCTTTATTCCCGTGAGAGAGCTTGACCAATCATGGAGCTGTCTCCATGCCTCTGTATCACCAGGCAGATTACACTCCTTTACATCGCTTGGCTGTCGGCCAAACCCTAATTGACTCTGTGTGAAGCTGCACGTATTCAGATTCCCAACACATCCCACACAGAGCGAGAACACCCTCTTCTGCACTTTCCCCAGCTATGCCATATTTGTCTAGAGATATGGCACCCAAAACTGTACACAGTATTCCAAATGGGACCACACTATAGAACTGTACAGGGACATTACAATACTGACCATTTCATTTTCAGTTCCTTTTTCAATAGTCTCCAGCATGGAATTTGGTTTGCCAACATAGCCACTATACTGCTCAGCAATAATACCAGAACACACATGAATAAATGAAATAATAGTGGTTCTGGTCCTTATGGGGCCCAACTGCTCACTTTCTTTCACTGAGAGAACTGTCCATTTGTTCCAACTTCCTGTAGCTTTGACCAATTTGTAACCCCTAGTGGATCCAATCTTTGGTCCCATGGCTGGTAAGATTACTCAGTAGTCTGGTGAGGTTTCTAATCAAAAACCCCTTTGGAAGTCCAAGCATATCATGTCTAACAGCTCACCCTCATACAGGTGCTTGTAACACTTCTCAAGGAACTCCAAAATGTTGGCAAGCAGGACTTCCTTTTGCAGGGAAGCCATGGAATGCACATGATATTTCAAACAGTGGCTCATTACACACTCACCCTTGCAGCAGGTGAGTGCGTGTCCTCTGCACATTCCCAGTGCAGACAATCAAAAGGGGACAAGAGCAAGTGCAAGGATTTTTTTTAAAAAATAGTTTCTTCCTCCCTTCCAATCCAGGTGTGGTCAATAGACCACTCATGAGAATGGAGGTTTCCTGGATTATTTGCTTCATCAGCCTTGGGATGGAAGTAGGTTGAAAATTTGGCCTGTTTTTTTCTTTGGGGGAGTTGTTACAGGTTGTAAAGGTGAAATCCCCAGTTCTTTGCAACATTGTCTTGTAAGTGCCATCTTCGTACTCAGAAATAAATGGGGCTATTTTATCCAACCCACAGCTTTATGGGCTTTTCAAGGGAGGTGGTTCAAAGTTGATTTAAGTAGCTTTAAAAGGGAGGGGAGGTTTAAAAGTCCACCTGACAGCTCCTGGAGTCTTTTACTGATAAAAGTTGGCAGATATTTTCATAGGTTGAGCCTTTTTATCAGGGTCATTTGATCATTAGAGCTCCTACTCACGCAGCAGAGACTCAGTTGAGACTTGACCCGGCGCCATCTTCCCCGGAAGTATATACACTAGTGTCAGGGGTTCAGGGAGAGAGGCACAGGGTAGGCAGGAGATGGAGAGCGATGGGGATGAATCCCAGGACAGCGAGGAAGAGGATGACAATGACTCAAGAGATTCCATGAGTCTTTCCAGCGAATCAGAGGATTCCCAGAAGGGGGCGCCGGTGGTCAAGGCCAGGGGAGCCCCAGGGGGGACGTGTCAGGAGCAGGGGGCCAGCGGAGGATCCCAAAGTGGCAGCTGGGCGTCAGGACCAGCCTCCCCACCAGAGTGCAGCGAAGGGGTGGAGTTTCCAGTGTGTCAGGGAAGCAGCTCCGGCAGCAGTGAAGGGAGGGAGGTCAGAGCAAGCCGCCCTCCCGGAAAGGGGAGGGGAGCAGTGAAGGGAGTAGTGTAACTGTCAAAGGAAAGTTAGAGGTTTGGCGCGCGCGCCAAGTTCAAATGTAGAGGCGCGCGGAAGTACAGGGAGCCCGGAGGAGGGGCCAGGTCCCAAAGCCCGCAGGAGGGGGGGAAGAGCAGTCTGATTCCACGTCAGAGGAATCCAGGAGGGGCGAAACCCCAGCGGGCAGAAGGACCCTGCGGAAAAGGAAAGAGAGAAAGAGGTGGAGCAGCGCAAGCCTCTTAAATTGGTGCAGGGGAGGGACGGATTCAGAGGGGACTTCAGCGGTCTAAGCGTAGCAGACGTAAGGCTGCGTGCCTAGGATGTCAAGCAAACAATGAACTGCAATAAACACTTTTGTATATAAGAAGACATAGGCGTTGGTCTTTTGTGAGCTGAGACTTGAGGCAGCCCTGACAACTAGCCAAAGAGGGACCTGAAGCAAGTTTGGAACAGGAGCTATTCCTGGAAAACCCAGAAGCCATGTTAAACGAGCCTCCCCTCCCCTCCCTATCAGGAGAAAATTTAAGGTGCTCTTCCCCGACTGAGCCAACTGAGACAGATAAATGGCCAAACAGCTTAAGGTTACAGTACCCGGACAACCTTATCTTCTACTTGTCAGGGATGTTCGAAGAGTTACTCAAAACTCATTTCACACAGATAAGCAAAGAACTTGAGCCAATTAAAAATTTCCTTTCGGAAAGCTTGAACCTGCTTACCACCCTAACTGAATTGATTAAGAACCATGAGGTCGCTTTCCCTTACATGACATCTGGGAATAGGACTAATGGAGGTGAAACCAAGCCGGGACTCGATTACAAAAAAACAAACAGAAACAATTCAGTGCAGGAGGGAGGGTCCCTGTTGGGTGTAGTGAAGGGTTAACCTTCTGTGCCTCAAGCCTGAGAGGAGACGCGTACAAGGGAAGTACGCCAGGACGTGACGAAAGCAGCTTTGGAATGCTGTGAGCTGAGTGAAAAGCGAAAGCAGTTTTGTTGCGTAGCTGCAAACAGAGGGAGAAGATGCAGCTTGAATCTGATGGCTGTTATGGATTGTAAATATGCTACTTTTGAGCAAATGAAGGGATATTAGGACAGAAGAAACGTGTGGGACTTGTTTACTGCCCTTTTCGACACACTGACGCTGTGTAATTCTGCTAATTGCTTTACGACCGCTCCAAAGCCACACTGCGTAAACAGAAGCTGCAGAGGCTCGCAGGGAAGCGTGGCTGGGCGCCAAACAATAAAGCAATAAATCTACCGAACAGTCCCTTGCTCCCAAGAAACCGACCTTAAAGAGAAAATGCTCAACACAAAAAATGAAGAAGACCGAAAACATCAAATTGAGAGGCCAAAAGGGAACGCCGACCTGCCGGACTAAAAAAAATGAATTTCCAGAAGCTCTTTAAGCTGCTGGAGAATATAACAACAAAGAACTCTGCTCCTACAACCCAAAAGAAAATCACAAACTCATGCACGCCAATAAAGCACTCTGAGGAAAAGCCCCACGCCCCAGCAGATCACACACCGCCCTCTAGTGGGGAAATAGGAAAACCAAAGGAAATTCCAGCTCCCATGCAATCAACCCTTCTCTTGACATCGCAAAGAAATCCCGTGTACCCTAATGTCAGGGAACTGGGGGCTGAGAAGGGGGAAACGCTGGGGAAATATAGAGAGCAGCCTCCGATAATGAGCAGCTGCACCTCGTCAGAGAGGGAGGATGACGAGGGGCTGTCAGGAAGCAATGAATCAGGGAGGGAGAAGCAACTTCCGGGGCTTCGCTCTTTGCATAAAGGAGGAAGGAAAAGGGGAGGCTTCCGGAAGTTGTTATGCTGGAGAGGACGAAAGAAGGGGCCAGTCTCGGCAACTGACACCGACTGAGAAGGACATGCATTTAAGAGCTCCAGATTGTAAATAGTATAATGGTCTTAATAAATCTTGTAAAGCTGGCTGGAGTCCCAGGCTGTTATCTCTTCTAGCACCCACCAATCATCCTGACACCTAACATAACAAGAAACGATCAAGATAAAACAACACAGACTTGTTGGAAGCTAACGTTAAATAATCACAAACTTGCCTTCACAATACTTCCCACAAATAGAGGACACCCATCATATGCTCAAAGAAAAGTAAATATTCCCAAAAAATCGGAATAGTCACCAGGGGCCTCGTGACAGCAGAAAATATCATCAAGGTAAAATTCCTCCCTAATGATACAGCCCAAAATAGGGCTATAGTGACTTTTAAGGACGGGCTCTCAACTAAACAGTCCCTTTCAAATAAAGACAGTTTCCTGAGGGCTGGCTTGCTCGTGCACCATTTCTTCGAAAACATTGAAGATCCTGATGGACTTCCGGGTTGGCGCCTCTGGTAATGGCGGAATTCCTCTGATCGGGAGGAATTTGCCTCGTGGAAATTCGGGTCTGGCCGCCATGGCGAAGGCGGAGACCCACTAAAAATCACAGGCGGGTGAAGCCTGTAAACGTGGGATTCGGCGGGCACCTTTTGCGCCTCCCCTACTCGCGGGGAAACCCGGTTTCAGGGATCCGGAGCGACGTGGGGTGAGCGGCGCGGTGCTTCGGATCGACTGCTTCTTCCACGGAGCGAAGCCGCATAGCTGTTGCTGGAGAGCGCTGACTTTTTCCTGTGGACAATTTGATTTTAAAGCAACTACCCGTGAGTAGAGTGAAGCATTGGATTTTTAAACGTCTTAATTTGGCACTGAAACGGGGAGGTTCAAAACAGGAAGTCCGCCTTCCCCTTTTGTAAATAGACTGAGGCAAAGAGGCTGCAAGCTAAAGTCTTGGAAAGCCTATTGTAAAGGACTAAATTTTCATCAGTAAAAAATATTAAACCCCCCTTGGAAGCAGGAGAAGAGGGGGGAAGCTTTGGATTGTATATCCCTGCAGGAGTGAGTGAAGGAAGTTAAAATACCGCCGTTCTGAACCTGGAAACGGGCTGCTAGTAAGACCGACGTGTTTTGGAAGGTTCATTGACAGCGAA